TCAGCAGTTAACAAATTACTGTGCAAGTATGAAGAGCCTGAATGTTTACTTGGAAGGGCTAGATGAGGTTAACTTTAAACAAATTAATTCGTAGATATGGGCCCATGTGATGCTTTAGACTTTGGAAGAAAGTGTAGTTTTTTCCTCCATGTTGGAAAAAACATTAGCAATTTGATAAAACCCAGCAGTCAGGGTTCTCCTTCATTCCTCACACCTCACACCGTGCGTTCTGACGACGATGGCCTTTCTGTTACCCAATCTGAAGTGGCATCTAGACCCCGAAGACGGGGCCTGGACCCAACCCCACCAGGCAGCGAGTGAGCCTCTCCATGGTGCCGAGCCCTCTGTCACCGTCACTGCCATGCGGTTCGTGAGCTCCCGTCAGCACGTTTGCAGTCACTCCAGCTTCCAGCACGAGTGGCTCCCCTGGGACGCTTTCCGAGGCAGCGTTCGCTCTAGTTCTCTGCCGGATTCTCTGTGTTGAGTTTGTTATGACTGTCGTTCTGGTCATCACCATTTTAATAACCTTGTTTCTGAGTCTGTCACCCTCATCCACCTTCAGCTACACCCACATGCTGTCCCCATGACCCACCCAAGTGCCATGTCCAGCCCAGCGTTTCTCAGCGTGTATCAGACTTGCCCGGGCCCTTGCTAGGAAGCAGACGCTGCCCCCCGCCCCCGCCCCACACATCTGGGCGGGTCCTGGGAATCGCCTCCATGTCCTAAACGCAGCAGGGAGAGAGTGGCCTTGGCCAAATGGTCTTTGATCCATCCGAACCGAGTCAAGTCTGACTCTTTACTGGGAAAATGTGTTAAGATGCTGAGAGTTCAGGGTTGTGTGCTTTTATGTATTTTCAAAATTATAAAATATTTTATGTCTCAATTCTGAAGGTGCCCACAGAGAATTTTAACACTATCTATTAAAATGTTTTCTATCGGACAGAAAATTTTCTCGAGTTCTGTCATATTCATTCTAAAAGCTGAGCTGTTTTTCTGATGCCACATGGAGAGGGAGGCCCCTCGGGCCGTGCCTCTCAGTCGTGTGGCCCTGTGCAGGCCCCGGTCTGCACCACCAGGCCCAGGGTTCCGCGCACCTTCCAGTGGGGGCGAAACCTACCCACGGTGGGTACTTCCGACCCGGCAATGATGTCAGCACCTTGGAAATCCTTTTGTTCATTAATTTGGATTATTTAGAATTTTTTAAATTTCTTTTCAAATGATCATTTCACTTATTCACTTTTCAAAATGTCATATTCATTATAAAAAATATAACATGGTTTAATTGTTTTCAGTACACGTGGATGAATGTATGCCAGTGTTCTGAAAAAAATTTGGAGACTTTAACTGCTGTGCTTGTAGAATGCATTTCTTGAACGTTCCATCAGGAGAGTGGACCTGAGACACGCGGAGGGACCCAGTGGTCACCTTGTGGACAGGCCTACTACAGTGCCCGTGAGACCTGGTCCCTGGCTTCTGTCAGGAGGGGCGGGGCGGGGTTAGTGTCATCACTGCAGGGCCCTCGTTTCCAGTGGGACGTCGTGTTGGCTGCTTGAGGCCGAGTGCCAGTGGTCTCAGGAGAGGTGGAACCTTGGCGGTCTCTCTGCTTGTTAGCTCTCTGGCCCCCGCTGAGCGGGGGGCCTGAGACAGTGGAGTGAGGAGGTGGCAGATCCTGTTGTGGGACTTGGAGGTGGGACCCAGCCCAGCCTCCCAACGTTACCAGGACAGAACGACCCATAGGTGGTGTCTGCTGCGTTGCTGTCCTCGCTTGGCTTCCCGGCTGGGTCACTGCGCTGGGACCGCCCACCAGCAGGCCGCCTTCACTCCGCGCAGCATCCTAGCTGAGACTTGGAGGGACACATCTCTCAAGGCCACTCCTGTGCCTCTTGGCACTATGACAGGGCCGTGGGCGAGTGTTGTGGCCGGTTCCTGTGGTGCCTGTTCAGACGCATGCACTAAAGTTGGTCCTGCCCACGGTTCTGTCTTTCAGGAGTACCCGTAAGTAGCCGGGTGTCAGCGAAAATTCAGCAACTGGTCAATACCCTCAAGCGACCTAAGCGACCGCCATTACGGGAGTTCTTTGTCGATGACTTTGAAGAACTTTTAGAAGGTGAGAGCTCCCTGCCATCGCTTACACTTGTGGGCCTGCGGGCCCATAAATATGATGGTGTCTTTGGTACCCAGGCCACTTTACTTTTTAAGAACAGTAACCTTGGCGTTCACTAGAAGATGGGACTCTTCTCCAGAGACCGTGTAGGTGCTGTTCCCGCAGCTCTGTCCCAGGGGACAGGCACTCTCGAAGGCCTCTCTCAGGTCTCAGAAACTCAGATAGGTCACAGGAAATCTTTCCGACAGCGACACAGCTCCTCTGCGCAAGTTTAAGAGGAACGCAGGGAGCATGCGGCATTTGCGTTCGGCCGACACGCTTTACAAATCCAGGGGCTGCTGTCTTCACCCCCGAGTGTGCACAAGCCTTTTAGCACAGACACCTGAAGTCAAAACAGAATACACTTACTCCACCAAACACAGACTGTCGTGTTCTTGTTCTTTACACCCAAGTAGGACATGCTGGCTTTCTGGGCAGCAGGTGGAAGGAGGTTGCCAGTCACACACTGTGAGAAAGAAACCATTTCAAGAAGAGAGAAAAATCTCGGTTTCTCACCTACCTAAAGAGTTGTATTGTATTTTGAGTCACGTATTTGTGTTTTGCTTGAGAAAAGATCTGTGCTCGTTACTCATAGCAGTTTTAGTGAATAAAAGTTACATTTCATTAGTTAAGAACACAATGTAATTTAGCGAGGTCTGAGTTCTCTGGAGGCCAGGATTGCTCCTGTGTGCCATCAGTAATATTGCAAACCTGAGTGCTGCATTTCTGGACTCCGGGCACGTTCGGATGGACAGCTCTACCTGCCTTCCATTTGTAAATGCGCTCTGGTCTCCCCAACGACCCCACCCAACGTTGCCTGGGAAGTCGTCAGAATTAAACGCCCCATTACATCCATTGTTCTAGAAAAGCGTGTGTGCGGGTTTTCCATGCAGTGATAAACCTATGCTTCTTTAAGTGTAATTCTGGTTTCTTTAGGAGGAAAAACATGGTCATGCTAATGTGGATATATTTTTCTTGAAAAACCTCTTGTGTACATGTGTATTTAGTCCAGCAACCAGATCCGAACCAGCCCAAACCAGAGGGAGCGCAGATGTTGGCCATGCGCGGGGAGCAGCTGGGTGTGGTTACGAACTGGCCCCCGTCTTTAGAAGCCGCCCTGCAGCGATGGGGGACCATCTCGCCAAAGGCCCCGTGCTTGACCACGATGGACACGAATGGGAAGCCCCTGTACATCCTCACTTACGGTAACCCTTCGAGGCCCACCTGCCTGTTCGTGTATGCTCACACCTGCTGCCTTTTGGGTGGCTAACGGGCACTGGTGCGGCCTTATGCTTCCGGTCTGGAAATACATGGACTCCGAAAGGAAATAGTTTAGGAAAATTATTTGGTTTGAATAAGAAAAGTTATTAATTGTTAAATGTTTTTTTGAGTAAAATCCAGAAATGGATCCCAAAGCTTACTTATCGTGACTTCACGAGGTTGGAGTTTACCTCCTGGGTCATAGATGTGCTGTTCTCAAAATCAGCCCTCCTGGGAAGGGTTGGTGGTTGAAGAATGTGTAGCCAACTCTGTGACACGTATCGTTCAGAAGAAGTGAAATCCTTCTCCAAAGCGCTTTTTTAGAAAACAAGAGCAAGAAGCTTCCTAAAATTCTTCATCCAGTGCGATTGACACAGTCTGAGTTCTCAGGGATAGTTAACTGTACCAAAGGGGCCCGTTCTCTGTTCCGTGGATCAGGCCATGGGAAGGCAGATCGTCAGGTCCTTTTCACACTGTCTGCTGCAGCTTTGCAGAGGAACCAGCTCAATATCACATCTGCATGCATAAGGGTAGATTACTTTTTGTTTTGTTTTGTTTTTATGATAATAACACTCTTCCAAGTGTAGGTAGGAAAGAAATAGTTTTCTACATTAGTAGTTGAGGTTAGGACTCGGATGTTGCATGAAATAGAGTCCAGCCCCCTGCGGTGTGGGGCCCAGAGGCACAGCCGTCGGCTCGGCCACTGTCCCAGGCATCTCGTGGACAGCAGTGAGATGGGGTAGGGATGCGCGTTTCGTAACTTTGTTTTCATGGCTTCATTGGGTGATTCTAAGTAGATAAAGAGTATTTCACCCGCGATGAGGCATAAGTTTGATTTTTTAAAAATTACACTCTTGGAAATGGGTTTTATTCGGTCAGAAAGATAATTCTCCTGTGAGAGCCTCATTTCCTGCCAGACTCGGCTGCGGAGCTGGCTGTGTTAGTGGACAGGGGAGGGGCTCACCTGTGTGCACACAGCTCAGCACACATCCGTCAGCCACGGGTGCCGCTTACGGTGTTTGAAGCGCTCCAAGCACTGGCGCCAAGATGTGGGGTTCAGAGATGAGTGAGGTGTGGCTCGGGGCTGGTGAGCAGACAGGAAGTACAGCTTGCTCTGGGGGGCTGGGGAGCGGAGGGCACTGACTCCCCTGAGGTGGGTGTAGGGTGTCAGAGACGGACAGTGCTGTCTACGAAATTTGGACCCATGTGTTTGTACCAAGGCATCACATCTCCTGTTTTTCGATCATCTGTATTTTGTTATATTTTAGTCATCTATACAAGGCATATGCTGTGGGTCAGTCTTGGTTTTTACTTTGTTAAAGGGATAGAGGGAAACAACGCATTCTCAAATATAAAACGACAGTTTATCAGGACGCAAAGTGAAGGTGTCAGCGGACACGGTGAAAACGTCAGGAAACTGCTTGCTACGTAGGAACATTGAATAGATGAATTTCGAATGGTCGGACGTTGCCGAAAAGAGAAAATTTCACTGCATAAGAATTGTTCTAACACCAACAACTTGGCATAATCGAGGGGCCAGGCTGTTCAGTGTGACCGTTCACATTCAGCCCCAAAACGTGGCTCCTGCAAAGCCTTTGGGTAGCAGAATCCTGCTGAGAAACACAGCGAATGAAGGTTGTGAACAAACTGATGTTGAAAAATTGTAGGCTTTCTATTAACCAATATAAACAGAAAGCGTACCAAAGAGAACCATGGTGTTTTATACTTTTAATCATTTTGCTTTGTTGCGGCCTGCTTTTCTACCAGGCAAAAGCTCATCTTTTTTTTTCTTATTTTTTTTGATTTATGACTCGACTTTCTTTGTCTGATATATTTTAAAGGACGTAGATGCTCGAGCTAGAAAAGCATCAGGCAGCCTTTCTGTGTCTTTTTGGGCTCGTGTGCTGTTGGTGACGTGCTCCTCAAGCGCTCACGACGGTGTCCGTGTTAAAGAGCCCTGTGCGCCCATGAGCTCCGACGGCCCCCGCCCCGCGCTCACCCTCACTCCGATGGAGCGAGGTCCATATGCCTGTGTCGTAAGATGGCGATGCCAGTTTCTTTTTTCAGTGTTGTGTAGTTTTCACCATACAGGTTTTTCACCTCCTTGGTTCAGTTCCCACGTGTTTTATTGTTTGGTGAAGTAGCCAAAGGGACTGTTTTCTTAATTTCTCTTTCTGATAGTTCATTATCCGCGTATAGAAGTGCGACCAATTTCTGTATGTTGATTTTGTATCCTGCAGCTTTTACTGAATTCACCTATTCTAACAGTTTTGTTGAGTGGAATCTTGAGGGTTCTCTCTATATAGTGTCATGTCATCTGCAAATAGTGAGTTTTACTTTTTTCCAATTTGGATGCCTTTTTTTTTTCTTGCTCAATTGATTTGGCTAGGACTTCTAATACTAAGTTGAAGAAAAGCAGCTGGACTGGGCATCTTTGTCTCGTACTTGATTTTACAGGAAAAACCTTTTTCTTATTACCGTTGAGTATGATGTTAGCTCTGGGCTTGTCATGTATGGCCTTTATTACGTTGAGGTATGTTCCCTCTATCCCACTCTGTCGAGAGATTTTTATCAGGAATGGACGTCAGATTTTGTCAAATGCTGCTTCTGCATCTGTTAGGATGCTCATATGATGTTTATCCTTCATTTTGTGAATGTGGTGAATCACATTGATTGATTTACATGCGTGGAACCCTCCTTGCATCCCTGAGAGAAATCTCACTTGGTCATAATGTATGATCTTTTTAATGCATTGCTGAATTTAGTTTGCTGACATTTCGTTGAGGACTTTTGCATCTATGGTCATCAGGAATATTGGTCTATAATTTTATTTTCTTATGGTGCCTTTGTCTGATTTGCATATCAGGGTAACGCTGGCCTCATAAAATGAGTTTAAGTGCTTCCTCCTCTTCTGCTTTTTGGAGGATTTTCAGAAGGATTGGTGTTAATTCTTCTTTGACTATTTGGTAGAATTCACCGGAGGAAATACGTGTCATTTTGCACAACATAAACTAGCAGTAATGCACCATGGCCATGGTCTTTGCCCTACTTTACTCTCTAGAAATCTTCCCTCACGACTTCGGTGATAATTAAAGTTCTCTCTGGCTGGGCTGTAGGTGCTTGTGTTAGTGCCGCCTGCTGGTGTCCAGGTTGCTTGCATTCTGAGTCAGAATTGCTGGCATTTATTGCTCATCTTGATCCAGAAACTCAGTACAACTTCAAGACTTAAAATGAAAAAAGTAACATACTCTGTATAGTTTACGGCGGGCATATATCCACCTTCAGCTTACGTGTGTCTTTGTAATTTGCACTGACAGGTAAACTGTGGACAAGAAGTATGAAGGTTGCTTACAACATTCTGCATAAACTAGGTACAAAGCAAGAACCGATGGTGCGACCTGGAGACCGGGTAGGTGCCGTTTAATTAATTTATCGCATCTGCAAAACACACCGTCTTATGTGGGAAAGATACCAAAGTTCAGCGTCTCCTAAGACTAACGCTGCTAAATCCGCCTCGCTTCACACTTACTAGGAGCAGCCACGCAGTAAGTTATCTAATCTTCACAGCACCTCAGGCAGCTGAACTAGGGTGTGTCTCATGTTATCCACAGGGACACTCGAACTTGAGAGGTGACACTCGTGTGATATCGGGTGCAGGCACATAAGGAGTAAGTGGCATAGCCAGCGCTCACATCCTTTTCTGTCCAACCCCCAAACCTTGTTTCTAACCATTGTCACGTATCATCTGGTTTGAAACATTCTCGTGTCATCTGCCTGGGCAGGCAGGGCAATCACGTTTAAAACTTTTTTTTACTACTCTGTCTCTCTGTCTCTGTCCTCCTCACTCTTCTGCCTCTGAGAGGGGACCACACACTGTGGAGCATTACCCCTTTTCTAATAAACTTTCATTTTGACTCTAAGAAAAAATAAAACTCTTTACATTAGTCAGTGGGATTAGCATTCTTGGCACCAAACTGCTGGTACCATTCCTTTCCCAGTGTGAAATGTCTCAATATAGGCTACCATCTTTCATAGAAAAGCCAGTTTTTGTTCTTACCATGATATGATAAGTTACGGAGCACAGACAGTACTATTTTCCATTTTAATATCACACCCAGAGCAGTTGATAATCTCATCCGGGCTTTACTTCCGGTTGAGGAGTGAGGCTGGGCGTGGGACCCCGTTTTCTTGCCTTTTCCTTATAAGCCGCTGTGTTCCTGAGATGCCCCAAGACTGGGTTAGTCTCCCTGGACCCCGAGGACCCCCAGTGCATGTTATAAAAATGTCGTCCAGCACCCTAAGCCAATGAGAACGTAAGCTGTGATTTACATACAAGGCATTATTAGAGGCATGGGCCCACTGCAGGGAATTCTTTAAAAGATCTCTGCTGCCCCAGGTCCCGTGGTGGACTATGATTCTTTCCAGTTTTTTACTGAATAAGTTTGACTTTTAGCCTTCACAAGTCAATTGTAAGACTCACACTTCCAATTATAAAACTTTACTAGAAACCTATAATAATCAAAACAGTGCGATACTGACACAAAGACAGACGTAGACCTGAGCGGGTCCAGCGGCCAGCTCAGCACCCCGGGGAGGCAGCGCACGGCGTCTGGTCACGATTGTGAAGACTCCGCAGAAATCCGAGGGCGTGTTTATAAGCCCAGTGAGAACAGTGGAAAACAAGCCCACGTGCACCAGTTTCTCCTACGTGAAAATGTGGACATGTGGAAGATGAGATGCAGAGAATGAGGGTAGTCGTATCCCGCCCAGTTTTGGGGACCGTCGGTGGGACGTTTGCCTTCCACGTGGATTAGAGGAAAGCCTGTGCCACGTGTTCAGACGCGTCTCTCTGGCATGCACTGTGAGCAGGGCACCTGACGTGTCCCAGCGTCCCTCCTCTGGGCGAGTGACCCTGTTGTCTGGTCAGCACGTTTCCTGGCATTTTAAGCGCTGACCTCAGTGTTAACAGAAACTCCTCCACTCTGTCCCCCAGGTGGCACTGGTGTTCCCCAACAATGACCCCGCTGCATCCATGGTGGCCTTCTACGGCTGTCTGCTGGCCGAGGTCGTTCCCGTGCCCATCGAAGTCCCACTCACGAGAAAGGTAAAGAGAAAGTTGTTCCGTTAAAGCCTGTTGACGGGCGGCAGGCTCGCTGTGCGGGAACGTTCTACCACGAGGGCAGACCGTGTGCACAGCCATTTTGAAAGCGGCTCTCCACCTCAGCAGAGTGTGGACTGGGAGGCACAGGTCTTTGTGTCTGCGGGGTTAGGCTTTCAGCGGTTGTCACGGTGAAGGGGACGGTAACCACGCACACAGCTCAGCCATGGGCCTTGGCAGGAGCTGCATCTTAGAGGCGGAGCGTCTGTGCGTTGGTGACGTGTTGGGCCGAGGGGTCTGTGCACGAAGCGGGTGTGTCGAGTTTCTCTCCCCGGGGTCTTGAACTCTTGCACCCTGTTCCCAGCCCCTCTCCTGCCACGTCGTCCTGGTGCCTCCCTCTGCATTCGGTGTCTCTTCGTCTCTGGGTTCATCGTTTTAGAAAGCACATCGCGAGCTGGCAGGAGAAAGGCATGATTCAGGGGGCAGCAGGCAGCCACCGGGAGGGCCAGAGCGAAAGCCCGAGCGCGGCCACCAGGCCTGGGCAGGTCCAGGCAGGCACCATGGTGCCCTCCCCTGAGCCACTCAGCTGCGGATACTCTGGCAAACACACGTGTCCAACAAGCGCCCTCCTGCTGCTGAGCCTGACTGAGGACCGGCCTCCCCGGTCACCCCATGGTCACGGGGCGGACGATGTGATAGCCACACTCACATTAAAGTGACCGATTAGAATTGTACTCAAAGGCCCCGCCTGAAGGAAGAGCACTGTGCCAGCCAAACACGGCTGTCCCCGACCGTGGGTGCCGGAGGATGTCAGCACCATCGCCTAGAGACAGGGTTTTTGCTGGGGTTAAATCTGCAGTAAGGAGGAATTTGGTCACCTGAAGGACTGCAGTTTTAAGAGGCAAATGTTGCTGATTTAACTTGGGTGAAAACACCCTATCACATCACTTTTAGTGACGTGAAGACAGGCAGAGTGACAGGCAGCTGCGGGTTCACGCAGAGCCAGGTGGGGGTGCTGGGAGATGACAGGTTAACTGTGCTTCATGACGTTTCTAGGACGCCAGCTCCTTCACGGGGTGGGTCACAGCCCGTGTGGCTGGCGGGAGTAAAGAGAGTGAATTGAGCTAACTTCCTGCCGTCGCTCTGCCGGTGGGGCAGCTGGCCATAGTAAGTGACACAGGTGACGGGGCTGGTGGTTGCCGTGGCTGCCCCACCCATTGCGTCTGGTCAAACACCACATTCTTAAGTCGGGGCCATTATTCAGAGGCTCCCACTACTCGGTGTCACCAGAGTCGATGTCACACAGCTGTGGTCTCTGTAAACCCATGTCTTTATTTCGTGAGACAGGACGTACTCAGGGCGAGGGAGGGCGACCAGGTCTCCATCTTGTTGGTCAAGGACCAGAGCCTTAGCTCTGAGTGTTGAGAAGTAGGCATTTGGTAGCCACTCGGCTTTCTGGGACCCATTCTGTCCTCAGTCATTGTGTCCTCCAGCCACAGTCCACAGGGCAGGAGGGGCTTCACGGGACATGCTAAGCACCAGCCCCATGCTGACCACCTGCGTGCTCTCCCCAGTCGCCCTTGCTGCAGACCTGGGAGATCTCTGCCCTTCACCACCCCCTGCTGCAGACAAGCCGAGGCCACGTGAGCTGTCGCCCATCCCCGGTCACGTGGCCAGCCAGCAGCAGCCTGGGCTCTGACCCTGCCTCTAACCCCAGCTCACACCCAAGCTGCAGGTCATGCAGGGAGGCCCGCTGCATCCCAGAGCCCAGGGTGAGGCCAAGGGAGCAGCCATCTTCTCGGCTTCATACTCCTCTCTCTGGTTGACCCCTCCAGGATGCAGGAAGCCAGCAGATCGGGTTCCTGCTCGGCAGCTGTGGGGTTACTGTTGCCTTGACGAGTGACGCCTGCCACAAAGGACTGCCCAAGAGCCCAACGGGAGAGATCCCACAGTTCAAAGGTATGTCAGCACCGTGTCACAAGGCAGACTCTTCACTGGGGATGCGTGCACTGCACCCCGTCTGTCCTGGATGCACTCTGTGCACAGGAACGTCTCATAACACATCCCGTCCCAACAGCCCACGTGGTGTAGCGTGATTTAACTGCCAGCTGCTCGTGGGGCTGCTGGGGGGGGTCCCAGCCGGGTTCCACCTGTGTGTGGCGTTGTGCACATGGTGCCTCAGTAGAGAGGCAGTTCTGGAAGTGTTCACCTAGCAGGGACTTGTCCTGTCTCTCCAAGGTTGGCCAAAGCTGCTGTGGTTCGTCACGGAGTCAAAACACCTCTCCAAACCACCTCGGGACTGGTTCCCCCACATTAAAGATGCAAATAATGACACAGCATACATCGAGGTCAGTTGCCGGGGCCCCACGTTCCCGGGGAGCTGACGGACGTGCCTTTGCGTTGGCCTCGCATACCACCGTCCCCGCCGTGTCGTCTCGTTTCAGTATAAGACGTGCAAGGACGGAAGTGTGCTCGGGGTGACCGTGACGAGGATCGCGCTGCTGACCCACTGCCAGGCGCTCACGCAGGCCTGCGGCTACACAGAAGGTATGGGCGGGACCTGACTCCAGACCTCTGCCTGTGACGCGTGTGTTGACCAGTAGGGGACCGCGTCGTCCACGCTGGTGACCGTAAACGTCCTGTGAAGTTTGCACCCGGCACAGCAGAAGGTTGGCTCGTGTTGTTGAGCGTCTCAGTCACTGCATCCGCCGTAGCAAACTGCAGACTGGGGACCGGAAAGCAGGTGTTTCTCGCTGTCTGGGGGCCGGGAGCCTGAGAGGAGGCACCGGCAGGGCTGGTTCCTGGTGGTGAGCACGTCCTCCCACTCACAGATGGCACCTTCCCGCCGAGGCCTCTGTGCATGTGGGGAGGCGTGGTGTCCGTCCCTCTTCCCTAAGGACTCGGGTCCTTTGGCTCAGGCCCCAGCCCCCAGCCTCATTTAGTCTCCGGCGTCTCCTTAGAGGTCCTGTCTCCAAATCTAGCCGCTCTGGAGGTCGGGCGCCCCCACACACGGGGGCCGGCTCACGTCATAACGCACCGTTAGCGCCGTTGTGTTCACCTCTGAGCCTACGCACAATCTCTCAGGACCTTAGAAAAGCCCTGGACCGCGAGCTTCTGGGGGTGGGCCTGCGAGCCCCCAGGTGGGCCACACTGTCGGGAGCCAATGGACTTCATGATGTGCTTTCTGTCCCGAACGGGGTGGTCATGAAGGCCAGGGGCTGAGGCGACCAGGTCCCTGCGTCACAGGCACTCGAGGGCCAGCGCCCGGGGAGGCTGGTGGCGTCTTCCCCCGCTGCCGGGCAAACCGCTCCTCTCTTCCTACCCCCACTCTTCTGGCAGTCTCCCCTTTAAAAGCCGTTCTCTTGTCCCGCGAGGTGCCGGGTCCCTGACGAGCCTCCTGCTTAGTTCCCACACACAGCCACGTTGCCCTCCCGGTTGCCACCCTTGTCAGCGTTTCCAGTTTTGAAGTCGACGTTTCTGACGACTCATGGCCCGTTTCCTTGCCCTGATTTCTTGACGGTGCAAGGCCATCTCTTGGGGGTTAGAGAGGGAGCATATATATCTTGCTTGCTTATTTCTTGATCTAATACTCGCATGGAGTGGCATCTAGGCTGTCTCCCTTGAGCATGCTCATTTCGAAAGCCCCTCTGCCGCCCTTTCTGTGACAGGGTCGGGCGCACGTGCTGGAGCCCTGGTGAGCGTGGTGAGAACGAATGAGCAGGGCTGTGAGACGAGGCACCGGGAAATGTCTGGGGCTCAGCGACAGGCAGTGCTGGGCAGGCCTGTGACAGCCGGGCCGCCTGCCCAGGCCAGCTGACAGATATGACCTCAGAGGCCTCGTTCGTGGTGTCGCTGGCAGCCAGCTCTCCAGCTTGGCTTCCACATCTCATTGTACTCGTTGTTTTCAACTGTATGTTTTTAGTTCCCTTCTCCTGCCCCCACCTTTTAAAAGAGTCACCCCTATAACCCTGGAATGCCTCCCAAATCCCTTGCTGCCTCTATCACTCCAGCCTCACTGAGGCTTCTCTGGCGCAGCAGAGGGCGTTTGCCGGACAACCCCTCATCCCCCACATTTCCTGGGAGAACACATGTCAGAAATGGAAGCAACCTTTAAAAAAAGGAAAAAGGCTGGGAGGGGAAATAAGTATGTAAAACGAGGAGCCACGCGTCATGTGGTGGTGTGAGGAGGCGTTGCTGTTAACGAGCATGTCAGAACCTTCACCCAGGACACGCTCCAGGCTGGCGGCGTTTCCACCTGGGTTTGGAGGCTGCGGAGTTTCTGCAAAAACACGGTGGAATGATGTTTCCCAAGACCTCTCACGACCCACCAGGACACCGGATTTTCCTTGCCTTTTGTTCTGTGCCTCTTTCGTAAGTGAAAACCTCTCCCTTTTCACTCCTGCAGCTGAAACGATTGTGAATGTGTTGGATTTCAAGAAGGACGTCGGGCTCTGGCATGGAATCCTGACGGTAAGGGCGCCCCACCCAGCCGCTGTTCAGACAGTGAGCGAGCACCATTCATAAGGAAGGGTTGGGAGCAGGAGCCAAGAGGGCCAGGTTACCTTCCAGACAACACTTCCAGATTGTTCTGTGATGCGCTGGGACCAGTTGCCCACCTGCATGGTGCTGAGCGCCCCTGGCGGGCAGTGAGCACACCCAATCGTGTCCCGTGTGGAGCCTGCTTTGGGCAGGGACCTCTCCTGTGTCACCTCTGTGGGTGTCCTCGCTTTCAGAGTGTCATGAACATGATGCACGTGATCAGCATCCCATATGCACTGATGAAGGTGAACCCGCTGTCCTGGATTCAGAAGGTCTGCCAGTACAAAGGTGCGTCCCGGGGTGCCCACTGTCCCCCACCACGAGGCCCTCCCTAGCGTCACATGGTCTGATGACACGCGGTAACCCCCTCTGCTCCTCTTTCAGCAAAAGTGGCCTGCGTCAAGTCCAGAGACATGCACTGGGCGCTGGTGGCACACAGGGATCAGAGGGACATCAACCTCTCCTCTCTGCGGATGCTGATCGTGGCCGACGGCGCCAACCCCTGTAAGTGACAGCTGCCACTCCCACGAGGACAGCAGGCAACGGGCCTCTGTCTCCAGGGTTCACTCTGCACCGTGGTGTTGCATTCTCGTCTTCACCTCGGTTGAGAAGTTGTCATAGACTAACAGCCAAAGGGGCGTAATCCCTGGCTGGGCACATGGCTTGGCAGTGGGGACCAGGGTCCAGCAGACCTCCGGGGGCCGCGTGCTGCTCCTCTGCATCCTGACTCGCTAGGGGACGTCACTTAACTCTGAATCCTTCCTCTTTAGCTGCAAAATGGTATCTAAATCATCCGATTTTGTGGGGATTAAATCCAGTCCCTATGCACAGTTGCTTCAGATATAAAAAAAGTCTTGAGAAATGTTAACTGTTGTTTTATGATTCATAGTGGTTTTATTGATCCGGAAATTGATTTGTCATTTTTAATGGAATTTCATTACCAAATCTTATAGAAAAATTGCTCAGGTAAAGTTAATTAGCAGCCCCACAGGAGACTGTTAATATACCTTGAGAAATATTTCAGTCAGTTGAAACAAAAACCAGTGTGCTTGTTTGGTTTTTTTATCAGAGGAACATATAAGGCAGAAGTAAAGGGAAAGAATGACTATTAAGTGAAGGAAATGTTGGTTTCTGACCACATTTGTAAACTGCACGAGGTGTATATTTGTAAATTAAAGCTACAAATACTTTCTTAACAACTGATACAGATAATTATCATGACTTTCATAAAAGATCCATTTACAGAATAACTCCCCAAATTGAGCTATTTTACCTATAACTGTACAGAGCAGTGTGTCTTAAAGGATGCAAAGTCAGCTTGTGTGAGGAAGTCGATAGCTGTTAGGTCCTGGGGAGCTATGCCCGAGGTCGCGTTCAAGTTACTGCAGAGTCTCCTTCACCTAGTTAAGGTTGGGTTTACCTGCCTTTCGGAGCCTGCGTGCTGAAAATAGTCGAGCACATGTCAGCCACGCTGCGCAAGTCCACCAGTTAGCAGACAGGTTTTATTGAGTACAGTGTGTGTTAAAATTCTCAGGCCCTGTGGGTCTAGGAATACTGCTTCTCATTGTGCCGAATGAGTGCAGCTGTGTTCAGTGTTTTCCACGCTGCGTAACCTTGCATGTGCCTGGACCCCAGCCCGGCAGCACGTTCCGTCGCAGGGTGTTTTCCCCAGTCCCGCTGCCTGATTCCCAACCCCCCTCTTTCCAGGGTCTATCTCTTCCTGTGATGCATTTCTTAACGTCTTCCAAAGTAAAGGCCTGCGCCAGGAGGTCATCTGTCCCTGTGCCAGCTCGCCGGAGGCGCTCACGGTTGCCATCCGGAGGTAGAGCTGCAGGACCCGCGGGGTGGTGGCGGCTAGGCAGCCACGGTGGCGGGTCTCGTGGCAGTCAGCCTCAGTTGGGAAGGAGGGGTGGGCACTGATGAGTTCTCCCCAAGTCCGGACTTGCTCACTGGAGAAGCGCCGGGTGGGTGGGACGGCACCAGGAGAACAGGGCCGGGGGAGACAGACCCGAATCTGCCTTACCCACCCAACCCCATGACCACCGTGTCCGCCCGCCTCTTGTCCTGTTGTCCAGGGTGGAGTAGTGTCCGCCTCATGGCAGGTCCACGCATGTGTGAACTTGACGCTGGATGAGCAGAATCGTCGTTTCTGCTCCCTGCTGTCGTCTGTGTGCTCAGCATATTCTTCTCCCTTTAGCTATTTTCGGGGCTGGAAAACAGCTCTGCAGAGAGGCTGTGGTGGTTGTCCGTGGTGGGCACGTGTGAGGCGGGCACAGGGCGTGCAGTGCTCCTGAGGGGCTTTTAAACATCGGGAACCCTGGGGCTGAGCTGGTGGACACTGGCTTCTCCAAACACAGGACACAGGGCCCCTGGTGAGCTAAGCATCGGGGCACGTGGCCACCAGGTGTGTTCTGAGCACCCTGTGGTGGCTGCCCTCAGTGTGCACAGGCGCTCGGATGACATCTGTGATTCCAACACGCCCCTGCTCCTACAAACTCACACGGAACCGCCCCTACAGGCCCACAGACGACAGCAACCAGCCCCCCGGCCGGGGTGTCCTCTCCATGCACGGGCTGACCTACGGGGTCATCCGGGTAGACTCGGAGGAAAAGCTGTCTGTGCTCACCGTGCAGGACGTCGGCCTCGTGATGCCTGGAGGTGAGTGTGGGCTGACCGCTGATCAGAGGCCCCCTGACCCTGACCGGAACTTAACTCCAGTCTCTTTCACTGTTCGACCTTTAGAGGTTTGGGGTAATGCTGCCCCCTGATGGCAGAAAACCCAAATGTTCAGGCAGCCCAGGAAGGGTGTGTCCCGCCTTGTCCACTGGGTTCCTCCCCACGCATCCCCAGGGGCCCTCTGCACAGGACGTGATCTGGCCCCGGCTTCCTGCATGTCACCTCACCTGTCCACTGACCCTGTGAGCAAAAGCAACGAAGCCAGAGCGGCTGGGAGGCAGGAGGCCTGGCATTCCCTGCCCCTCCGCCCCTCCGGGTTCCTCTCTGCGTGTGCCCTGGTGTCACAGATGGCGCACCTTCCCCCTTCCACGTGCTGCATCTCAGGCCCCTGTGCACATCCAGCCTTTGCCAGGCCTCCTGCTCCTAGCCGCTCTTTCTTTAAAAAAACTTACTTTGCAAATATAGTAGATTCGTGGTTCCAGCCTCAGAATATTCAGGCTGTACAATGAGAAACCTCCTTCCCAACGCCAGAGGTACCAGCTTCTCCTTTTAGGAATATCGTGGGGCTGCAGACACACACGCACGTACTGACACACACACACTCGGCAGCTCGCCCGCTGACCCGCACGCACACTGACAGGTGCACGCACTCACATCTCCGCCCACCCTCGTTTTCCTTCAGCGAGATAAGCGCTGTTTCCCCTGCGTTCAGTGCCACGCAGCGTGGGGCCTGCCGTGTCCTTGTCCCATAGCTCAGGGCTCATTTATCAGTGCGTGGAGAGCCGTCTTTCCCAGGCCTGCTGTCCGCGGTGTTGGCCTGCACGCAGTCTGTTCGGTCTGATCCCCGGGTCAGCGTTGTCTGGTGCAGCCAACGTGCGAGGCCGTGCATGACATGTCTGTACTTCCGTCTGCACGGCTGTGAGGACAGTTGAATGGAGAAAGTTCTAGAAGTGGGATTTGTGTCTAGGGCAGAGGCCTCCATAACTGGTAATACTGTGTGTCCTTCGGGAAAATCGTGCGAATGACGTTCCTGTCACAGGTGGGGACGCCCCTCCCTCCCAGCCCCCGCCCGTGTGCCGTGAGACGGTTTGCTTTCTGTCTGAAGGGTGAGGAGTCTCTGGGGTAGTGTCGTTTTAAACTTTCCTCTCCCCGAGTGTGATGGGCGTGTCCTGCGTTTTGGTGGCTCTGTTTCCTAGACTCACCACTTCTGTCACCTCAGCCCCAACCCAGGTGAGCAGAGGTCAGGCTCTTCCCAGTCAGTTTAGCCGTCACTGATGCACCTCACCTCGCTGAGCTGCCAGCTTCCTAACCAGACCCATGGGCTGCAGTGGCTGGACCCCGGGTGCGTTTGTCGTGGTGGCGCCTCACCTGTGTGCCACGGTCGTGGAGCGCTCGGCATCGCTGAGATGTATGTGAGAACTTTCAGCACCCTCCGAAGGGTGAAGGCCACTATCGCCACAGGACCCAGCGCCCTGCACCCAGAAGCGCCGGGAGACTGGAGGGCAGCATTTTGCACCACTCAGGTTGTGTCCCAGAGGCTGCGTGCCCTTTGCTGGCGGCGTGGCTGTGGCCAGTGACCCTTAGGCTTTGTCTGAGCGTCACCCTCATGTCTGAGTGGCTGAAAGGGCTACTGTCTTTAATTATGATTCACGCATTGAAATTAAAGCAACTGGAATTATCTGCTGACGTGTCAACCATGAAATGTGACGTTCTGCTAAAACGTGTGACAAGTGAGTCACGTGAAAATCGTGACTCACTTTGGGGAAAGGGCTGCCTGGCTGCCACCTCCCTGTCACACCGCAGCGTCGTCTCTGTGCGCATTTCCATCCGTGTCCGTTTATCCTCCCCCATACACGCCTGCTCTGTGTGCAGCCATCACGTGCTCCGTGAAGCCGGACGGGGTCCCGCAGCTGTGCAGGACAGACGAGATCGGGGAGCTGTGCGTGTGCGCCATCGCCACGGGCACGTCCTATTACGGCCTCTCGGGCATGACCAAGAACACCTTCGAGGTAGGTCGGAGAGGCGAGCACGCCGCCAGGGGCACGGCACGGAGGACGAGACGAGACGGGAGACGGATCTGTAGTCAGGACGGTTGTGCCTGCTCTTGCCGCTCTTACCGTTCCCAGTAAGTCCGGCTCATCAGCATTGTTCCCACCTCATGACCAGTCTTGCCGCTCTTACCGTTCCCAGTAAGTCCGGCTCGTCAGCATCGTTCCCACCTCATGACTGGTGGGAAAGGGCAAGTGTAATTCCTTAGAAATGAGCCTCTCTAATCTATTCCTGTTCGCATCTTTGCCTGGGCAGTCAGAGGGGCCGTGACAGTGTATGGGGGAGGGGCGTGTACAAACGACCATCTCCACGGCTCAGGCAGGTGTGTGCAGTGGGTGTGCTGTGCCGTGTGCATAGGTACGCATACACACGCACACCACGTCACACTAGCTTCGTGAGTGAGAGGTTGAGGGACAAACGAGATCCAGGGACTCAGTGTGTCAGAGCTTGTCATCGGCTGAGTGATGCTGACCCGGGGGAGGGCTCACGCTTTTTGATTAAGTTATACAAAGGAAGCACGAGCTGTTTGAGGACACGGTTCGGACTGTTTGGAACCGCGGGTGCTGGGTGTGCGTTCATGTTGCCCAGAAGCGCTGTGGCCCCATCCTTCCCACGCGCTCGGCAGGCTGGGTCTCGGGGAGACACGTGCAGTCTGAAGGCACATGATCTGCGTCCTTTATGTGCGTCTTCCCATAAGGAAAGTGTGGTTCCCATAAGGAAAACCACGTGACGAGTAGGGACCATTTCAGACCGAAAGATGTTACTTAAAAGTGCCCCTTGATTCTACACTGGTCACTTTTGTGCTGGGGCTTCGTGAGCAGAATTCGAGTTTTGGAAACTGTTGTGATGGCCTCTGGGCATTGCTTCTTAAGGGGCTCAGAGGCCGAGAAAGGGGACCACATGCAGCCCCGTGAGATAGTCGGAGGGGCGGACCGGGACCAGCGGTGTCCGGCAGCCGTGGGAGAGAGGCCAGCGGGCAGCTCGAAGAGGAGGCGGAAGGCAGCGTCACGGGTGCTTAGGTCTTGTGCTTCCCCAGGTGTTCCCCGTGACAAGCTCAGGGGCCCCGGTCAGCGAGTACCCCTTCGTGAGGACAGGCCTGCTGGGCTTTGTCGGCCCCGGGGGGCTCGTCTTCGTGGTGGGCAAGATGGACGGGCTCATGGTGGTGAGCGGACGCAGACACAACGCCGACGACATCGTGGCCACTGCGCTGGCTGTGGAGCCCATGAAGTTCGTCTACAGGGGAAGGTGAGCACCCACCCCGTTCTCTGCACTTTTGTATAAAATTGACAAATTCTTCGAGCTCATAGGACCCCGTTTCCTCTTCCGTAAAGTGAACCGCACTCAGTGACCTTCGAGATTCTAGCTGGTTATGAACGTCCAATGTCACAGAAACTTCCTGAGCACCATAAAGATAGTCTTATTAACTTCTCTAAGTTAAGCAGAAATATCCATTTGAAAAACGTATTTTTAACAAGTAGCTATACAGAGAGTCAGCTATTCACGTGGGTGCAGGTCCTTTCAAAGGTAACAGTCGAGTGACAGATTCGCGCAGGAGACGCCCGTGGCCCCCTCCCCAGCACGCCCCAGCCTTGCTTGGCACATGGCGAGCGCGAGTGGCTGCGGCCCCTGTGTTTCTTGCTTTAGAGTTTACTTGAGCATCGCAGCTGAGGGAGCAGGAGAAATAGATGTGTGGGTGCAGGTTGCTGCCTTTGAATTTTCTGTAGGCTGCAGCTTCTTTGGGGGCGGGGGGTGAAGGTGTGGCAGTCACCAGGGCCCCGCACCTCCGTGAGTGGCCGGCAGGTCCAGTAGAAAACCCTACTTCCCGGTGGTGACTCTTCCTGAGTAGGAGACGTTGCTCGCAGGCTCAAGCCAAGATGGGAGCCGAGTGGTTTTCTGAGCCTCTGCAGTTTGGGCAGTCGTACAAACTCCTGTGGCTGCCGGGAGCGGCGGATGTTGTCACGCAGCCTGCAGGTGGCCTCACCAGGAATGGGGCATCTGCCTCGCCTTCGTGCCGTCAGAGCACCCGACCCTGACGTCAAAGTGGCTTTCTGGAGCAGCCACCAGGCGGGCACCCTGCGCCCTGAAAGCAGCCGTGAAGCTCCACAGTGTGGACTGCTCCTCCCGGCCCCTCTGGCGTGCTCACTGTACCCCCACCCTGTCCCACAGGATAGCCGTGTTCTCGGTGACCGTCCTGCACGATGAGCGGGTCGTGATTGTGGCTGAGCAGAGGCCGGACTCCACGGAGGAGGACAGCTTCCAGTGGATGAGCCGGGTGCTCCAGGTACAGCAGCTTCCGTGCGTCTGTTAGGGTGTGGCCGACCCAGTGGTCCCTGGTTGTCAGTCAAGTTGATTGGAAATGGCATCAGCTCCAAAACACGGACTTGTGCCCTGGGAAAGCAGCCGTCTGCCCGAGGTCAGGGCCTCACAAACTGGCTCCCGCCGTCACCGTGGGAGGCACGCGTACGAATGTGTGTTAGGGCCTTCAGAGTGTGCGTCTTCTCCCCATACTCCCGTCAGTGTGTGTGGCATTCCATGGTCCCTCTGTCACCACGCAGCTTGGCGAGGTGGGCGGCAGCCCGTTAAACTGGCACTTTCGCCGGCCGTGCCACCGTGCTGCCGCGCCTCCCGGCGTGGACACGTGCTGCATGGCCTGCACACGTGCCTTCGGTCTCTCCTGCACCTGCTCTAACGGTCCCCTCTCGTGACTTCCAGGCGATCGACAGCATCCATCAAGTCGGGGTTTATTGCTTAGCCCTGGTGCCGGCCAACACCCTCCCCAAAACCCCGCTTGGTGGGATCCACTTGTCAGAAACGAAGCAGCTTTTTCTGGAAGGCTCACTTCACCCCTGCAATGTCCTGATGTGCCCGCACACCTGTGTCACAAACCTGCCTAAACCTCGACAAAAGCAGCCAGGTATGTCTGGGGCCGGGAGGGATTGCAGTCTCCTCGGCCTCTGGGCCAGTGGCATTGGTGTGTGCTTCCTGGGCCTCCTGGACACAGACCGTGTCCCCCAGTGTCTCCTCCCAGGGGAGTGAGCCCCCTCGCCCCCAGCAGCTCTGCCTCGCGGTGCAGTCTGTGAGACAGGCAGGATGTGGCGTGTGCACTGCCGTGCTTTGTCCCTGCTCGTGCAGGCCGGCTCCCTCACGGAGCCTGGAGGGTCAGCGTGGAACACTTCTCTGCGCTGTCTCATTACATCCTGGGTTTCCTTAGCTGGCACCCTCCCCCTTCCCCCCTTCACTGTCTCACTCGGCCCCTGGCTTACACGGTTGCTGCATAAAATGCACGGCTGGGCCGACTGAAGTCGCCCGGCTTCAGGTGGGGCCTCTGGAGTGGTGAGGGTCACGCAGGATGACAGGTGCCTGTCCTGTCTTGTCTCAGGGCACAGACAATACTGGGGACACTCCATCTGCGTGGTTGTCTCATGCATTGAGCTGGTCACAGTGTGAGGGCTCATGGGTCCTCGTGCATAGCAGGGACTGGAATGTCTCTCATTGTCCACCTCCATTCATCACCAGACACCCTCAACAAAGTGGCCCCAGGCATCAAGATGGTCACGGTGCTCCCCCACGGGTCAGCAGTGCATGACAGAATTCAGGACAAATATGTGGAGGGATCAGCTGCCAACACGTGTGGTCCCAGAGCTCAGCTCACCAGTCAGATACCAAGGAACCCGACACAGGAGAGACGTGGCTAAGGGACAGGTCCAGGCACTCCCTCCGGGGGCTGCAGGGGCCGACGCGGGGGGTGACCAGGGCAGCGGGACCACTGTAACACTGCAGCGCGGTAGGTGCGCGTGTGCTGCTGGTCACTGTAGAGCAATGAGTTTCTTTGACGACGCTCGGTATTCCATCCGTTCTTGTCAAATACTGAGGGGTGTGTAAATCTGTATCTTCAAAAAGTAGCTTTTTAACAAATACTAAGTGGCAGCTATGAGGGACCCGTAAACTTTCTTAATTGATGGCCTGCAGTGGCCGTTGGGCAGTTGCTGTTTCTCTGAGGCCTTGTTTCCTCGGTGCCATGAAGGTAGTGGACTAGGTCCCATCTGAGGCTTTTGGGGTAAATGTATGACTTGGAACTGGCACTCACAAGTAGCAGAGTGAACGTCCAGTGAGGCCATTGGCAGGTGCTTGAAGTGCGGCCACTAACTTAGCGGATGCATAGACAATCTAATTGCCTTTTAATGGGACAGGTTGCTGGTTTTTTTTAGCTCACAACATTTACTGTGAAAATGTCTTAATTGAGTGCGGAAGTGTTGGAAGGCCTTTACCCCGTCGGCTGGTTCGTGACAACATTACCAGAATTATAAAAGCAGCTCTTGGTCCTAGCTTCCCTGACGGACTGCATCAGAGCAGCCTGAGGGCCTGAGCGGTGGCCGGAGGGAGGACACTGCTGTCACATGGCTGCCCGTGTCCCTGCACAAGCTGCTCGGGTATCGGGAGCAGCGATTGGATGACACTGAGGAACTGCCAGCCGTAGATTTGTGAATCGGTGCAGGGCGGGGCACGGGGAGCAAGTGCAGATGTCAGGTCCAGGTCCCTCGGCCCTCCCAGCACGTGTGTCCAGTTCTGAGGTTGCAGCTACAGGAACGTCCACGGCCACCTTCACCAGGCCGGGGCCTCAGTTCTCGTCAGGACAGCTTTGTAAATCGAGCAGCGGGAATGCCACCAGCCTCCCAGCGACATTTGAAAAATGCCAGCCCCTAAGTCCATGTGGAGACAGAGACACGGAAGGTCCGAGCTTTGCATGCAGAGGATGCCAGCAAGAATAGGCTTAGGGACCCAGCGACAGAGAAGCACAAAGTAAAGCACCTTGAAAACCTGATATTCCCCAAAACAGCGCTTTTCCCACCATTGCCCGAATTCTTAAAGCAGTTACAGAGAAGCCTTCAAACCAGCCTAGGCCATTTTCCCAGTCGGCTCCGTAGAAGAATGTCCTGCCAGGTCTCAGCAGCCAGGAGGGACACTGGGCACCGTCGCAGACCCTGGAGGCAGGAAGCACCGATACACACGGCCCTGGGAGAGGCGGTGCCTCTGGGCAGCAGCCACCACCTTGCAGGCACGCTGTCGCGCTCTGCACTTCTGCACGCACCTCATGGCCTAGTTAGTTGTCTTTTCCGTTGATTCTTTGTTAGGAGCCAAGGAAAGAAACGTGCTCGGTCCCGAGCCACTGCTCACGAGCTTTCAGACGTAGTTTAGCTGAGCACCTGGGCGTGTGCTGTGAGACCCAAAGCCCACATCACGGCTCCTACAGACCACCCAAAACCAAAGGTGCCGGCAGACGGGAGCCCAGAAAGGCGTCACGGGCTGCTCTCCAGGGCCCAGTGCTTCCCGGAAGCGCCAGGCCACCCCGCATCGCTGTGGAAAGCTGGCTGTTTCCTGGCAAAGCCAATTCTGGGCAGCCACATCTGCAGAGCAGAGTAGGTGGTCTGTTCCCACTGGACTGTCACCTGGAGGTACCAGGTGCTCACACCTGCACTCCCATCAGTCCGTGGCTGTGCTTGGAAGCCAGGGTGATTGCTGGAGAGGTTGTCATGGCAACTGCGCACCTCTCAACCTCCAACACCTACCTGACTGTAAGCCTCTAGTGTACTCTTCATCAGAAGTTTAATAAAAACGGGACTCAGCGGCGGCCTTCAGCCGTGTCTTATCAAACTGAGGTGTCAACACTGACATCACCTGTGTCGCGTTAACCTGTAGTTCTTTGGGTAAACATCTCAGCCTCCCTCCCGCACTTCCTCTCCTACCTCCTTCTCCCGTCTCACACTCGCACACACTCACACACTCACACTGCCACTGTCCTTATTAGGACAGGCTGCAGAGGTCACTGGATGACAATGACGGCAAATGCACACAAGCCTCAGTCAGGGGCATGCAAGGCACGTGCCCACCGGACCCCCGGTGCCGCCGCGCTGTGGCCTGACTCTCCAGGTGGGGGCTGCTGAGGTCTCCCCGCGGTGCAGAGACAAACACAGATATAAGCAGGACGCTGTAGACGGGGGACGGTCCTCGACCGAGACTCTGCTTCCCCGGCATCAGGGCGCACTGCCGGCCGCCGGCCGCTGGCCGCAGACAGACACCACGTTGCACGTGTTCTCTAGGTACCTCCGGGGTAGACTCGGGGAGTGCTACTGTTGAAGGGACAGGACATAGTCACGTGCATGTCCGTATCTCGTAGACTGAAAGGCCGTCTCCGTCAGGCCCACAGAAGCACGGAAGCATCAGCCAAGGGCTCCTGCTCGGAGCTCCCGTCAGCCCATTGCCGACTCAGCACCATGTTCCTTCCGCAATTCGTGACACGTTCAAACGAGAAAAGCAGACACAGTCTACTCTGGCAGTCTGTCTTCTCTCTCTTAATGGAAGAAAGTTCCGTAAAAATCCGTGGTCATAGTTTCGAAATTTAACTGCAAGAACCCTCAATACCCTCAGGTTTGTCAAAGTACAGCCACCCAGTTTCTCGTCATCAAACGTCAGGCACGCGTACAAACTGAGAGACAGAATGGGAAAGCATTGGGGGTGCCAGGAGGATGCGCCAGGGGGAGCACGTGCGAGCTCTTCGCCGAGGCGGGCGCCACGTTTCGGGGGCTGGCGCTGCTTTCCCCACACGCGTGTCGCTGTTTCTTTGCAGAAATCGGCCCTGCCTCTGTGATGGTGGGGAACCTGGTGTCTGGGAAGAGGATTGCGCAGGCCAGCGGCAGGGACCTGGGGCAGATAGAGGACAACGACCAGGCCCGGAAGGTGAGCCCGGGAGACACCCATGTGGCTTCGTGAGGGAAACGCGTGTTGGGCATGCAGATTGTAGAACGCGCCACAGTGGCGCAGAGAGGGGGGGTGACAGTCCCATGACTGGAGGCTGGGGGCTGGTGTCTGAGAAGCTCTCCCTGGGCCTGGTCCCCTGAGCACTGGCTTCCGGTTTCCCACCAGCCGTGACCACGCCAGACAGCCTGTCCTTTGATTGTACAAATTCCAGAAAACTTCAGCTCAAACCCAGCTTTGGGAACTAGACCTTAAAGCAGCCTCAGGGACGTGGGCCCCAAATATCTCACGATTTGTCTTGAGTGGGCATCAGTTGCATTACGGCCGTTCAGCCTTGAGACTCTTACGACTCAGCAAAAGGTGGTCCCGCTCAGCACGGCCACCAAGAAACGTGACAAAGGAAGCACTCGAAGTCCTATGAGCCTGGCATTGTGCAGTGCGTGGGTGCTCGCATGCTGCCCGCTGCACTGCATGCTTCCGTCCTGGATTCAGGGCGTACGGGGGTTCCCGGGCCCTGACGTGATGCAGGCTGACCTTTGCACAGCGGGCGGAGTCGGCACCGTGCACGTGGCCCCTGTGATGTGCAGTGTCGTGACGTGGGTAGCAGCCGTTCTAGACAGCACGTTTAAGAGAGCCCACGTCACAGCAGGACAGAGCCGCTTCTGCTGGTACCTCAGACATCCCATGGCATCTTCTGGAAGCCCCAGAAGGGGTGTCGTGCGTCGGCTGCTCCGTGGTGGGGGGTGCCGTTCTCCCATCTTGGGCGGATTCAGGAAACCTACCTGCCAGGGGCCGTGTCCGAACCCCAGTCACGGCCAGAGAACGGGGAGCAAATTCTGTTGGCCGTGTGTGGCAGGGCACCCTCCTTCCTCTGCATGGGTGTCCCCCAAAACCACTCAGGCAGACGAGACCGATTCAGATGGAGAGAGGAGCCCCGGAGCAGGCGGCCTGGGCCTAATGTCCGTGTTTCGTTCCAGTTCCTGTTCCTCTCGGAGGTCCTGCAGTGGAGGGCCCAGACCACGCCCGACCACGTCCTCTACACGCTGCTCAACTGCAGGGTGAGGCCACCGTGTGGCGCCCTGGCCACGCCGGCTTGGCGCTTCCCCGCATCCTGCCCCGTCACCCCCCACCCCCCACCCCCGGGCCACTGCCACTCCTGCGACAGACCCGGCTCGGGGAGGGTTTTCACTGAGACCTTTGCCTGAGGAGGCCCAGTGCTGAGTAGAAGGGTCTGCACCTCCGTCCGTGCATTTAACAGATTTTTGCAATGTTTCCCCCCCAAAATGAGTAATGATCCTTACAGCAAAGGAGAAGTTTCAGATCTATGGGATATTTGTCTTTATTGTTATTGCTAAACTACTTTTTATAAGTAGGAAGTTACATTTTAGTCATAGACTTTCATTCTTACGAATGAAAATCATTTCTATTTTGTAAGTAAAATTAAAATAAATTTAACAGATTTTTGCAATGTTTCCCCCCCAAAATGAGTAATGATCCTTACAGCAAAGGAGAAGTTTCAGATCTATGGGATATTTGTCTTTATTGTTATTGCTAAACTACTTTTTATAAGTAGGAAGTTACATTTTAGTCATAGACTTTCATTCTTACGAATGAAAATCATTTCTATTTTGTAAGTAAAATTAAAATAATTAAATTAAAATTAAAGTATTTTTCTTTTAAAACTAAACTTTAAAATTAAGATTTAGTTTAAGACCTATTTCAAAACGTCCCGTAATTTCCGTTAGACCGTATGACGTGTTTTCCCTTCCCCAACACGGGACCCGCTGCAGCAGCCTCTCTCCAGCATGGCGCCTCCTTCAGAGATTTTTGAGAATAACTTTGGTTGATCCCCAGTCACCCTAGGTGCCGATTCTGGCATGTGACGGGCTCTCCTCTCGTCACTGTAAACCCTGTGACGTGGCAGATGGTCTCATGAAAACTGTCTAGAGGTTCCTCCAGACAACGGACAGCACGCGATTGATTACGTTTCGCCTTTTCTAAGTTCCGACGGCGGGGTTTTCACAAACCAGGGTCACACATATTTTCAGACACAGCCACAGCTCTCACATCTCACAAGCTTCGGCTGAGACAAAAGATGGCTGTTGACAGGTCAGCACTGGCCCTCCAGAACAAGGGTGGGGGTCAGTTCTCGAGGTGGAGCAGTGCACACCCCAAGTGCTCGCCGCTTGAGGCCAGGCAGCCATGCACCCCAGCGCGCGAGGGTGAGGACAGCCCCTCACTTAGTGGGGACAGGTCTTTCTTAGCGGGCGCAGACGCTTGAGCCTCTTCTGCCAGCGCCAACCCCGTGGCGCTGCAGGGACATCAGGGTCGAGGAGCGAGTTCATGGCGTCGACATACGCAGCAGTGGGCTCGGGTGTGACGCACGCAGGAAGGGCCCGCGTTGCGGCTCCGAGTCGTAACGTCCCGGCGGGGCTCCCAGCTCGCCGGCTCTGACCTTCCGCGCTCCCACTCTGCGGCTGCTTCTACTTTTTCGCTCTTGACCTCTCTCGGAGAGAAACTCACTACGAAGGCGCACCCCTGACCCATGCGGGTGCTTCAGGGGGCGGGGCGTCCTGGTGCCCTCCTCCGACACAGCCAGTCACCACGTCACGGCGTCCTTTAACAGCCCCAAGGTTCTGGCCTCTTCCGTCCGCAGCATGTGTTCCCCTTGGGACTTCATCCTGCACCCTTAGCATTCGGGTCCAGAACGCCTTCCTAGGGCGTCAGTCCTCCATCTGGCTGTTCTCCCCATCAGCCCTTCCCCCTCGCCCCGGGGGCTCCAGCCTGAACAGGGTGGTCGGCCCCGTCGGCCCGGTCACTGCTCAGCTTTAGGACCCCCCGCATGAACATTGCTGGACAGCTTGCCTGTTGCTAAGGAGAGGTCCTTCACCCCATTAATCACTTTCATAGGGTTTGATCACGAAAAAGCAGTTTTAAGTGGCTGTAGGGTGTGGGGGTTTGTGCAAACGAGCCACAGTGGCCCAGTGCAGCCCAGGACAGCATTCTGGGTCAGCCGTACGTTCATCATCCACCATCCAGCCACACTCTCCTCTGCAGTTTAAACTGCGGGTCCCATGTGTTTGCATGTTTCTTGGGATCCGTTTTGCTACCGATCTTCCCCAGCAACACTTTTAAAGGTGTTTGTAGCTGGAACGTGTAAGTTTAGCTCTTTTAGATCCATAGTTGATTTTAGGAAGCTTCTCGTCAGTGTGAGTGCATCCAGATCTCTCTGTGCTGTGCTTCTGGCAGGTGGGGAGGAAGATGAGCGACAGCTGACGGTCGGGGTCGTGGGGTGACAAGGACGCTCTGAAACCGACTGGGGGTACAGCCGTGAGCACACTAGCACCCCCTAACTGTCCATTTGACCAAGTGACTTGCCTGGTGTCTGAGCTGGATGTCCCCGAGCTGCTCTGTAAGGAAATCTGGCTTCCACTTGTTCTTCTGCACTCAGGGCACAATAGCGAACTCGCTGACGTGCGTGCAGCTGCACAAACGGGCGGAGAAGATAGCCGTGATGCTGATGGACAGGGGGCGCCTGCAAGACGGGGACCACGTCGCCCTCGTGTACCCACCAGGTAGGAGCGCGACCCGCTGCGCACGGGCCCCTTACTGCACGTGCCAGAGTGTGGTGACCGGAGTCGCCGTGTCATCACTGAGAAGTGACAGCGAAGGCCCAGAATGGTCCCCCGGGTCTCGTTCCCGCTGGTGGGGACTGTGCTGTGTGCCGCACAGCTTTGAGGGGTGTGAACAAAGCGACGTTTCACAGACTTTTGTGCTTAACTTGTATCTGTGGATTCTGAGGTCGTTCATTTATTCATTTGTTGTCAAATCCTTAACCACTGAATTGGCAATCACAAAGCCGAGTATCGCCTCAGAGAAATAGAAATGAAATGTCTGGCCAAGCAGCAGTCATGGCCAGAGCATCTCAAATCCCGGGACAAGAAGGTCCCCGCTGCCTGCGTGACCTTTGAACTTCCCAGGCTGGTGTCATTGCCGGTGGGGGTGACAGCCACGTCGTGCGTGCCATCTCATGAGAGGCCCCTGCCCTTGTCCCCATGCAGGAATAGACCTCATTGCGGCCTTCTATGGCTGCCTGTATGCGGGCTGCGTGCCAGTCACTGTGAGGCCCCCGCACCCACAGAACATCGCGACAACGCTGCCCACCGTGAAGATGATCGTGGAGGTAACGCTGCCCTGTGGCTCAGAGCCGGCCTCACGGGAGGCCCGGTGCGGGATTGTGGGCGCCTGTGGGGGCGGGTACACGGCTCTGCCCCGGGGACCTCACCAACTCCTGCTCAGGAAGTGCAGCCACCTGTGTTTGGACTGAGGGCTGCAGGGCCTCCTGGCCACGATACCTCCGAATCAGAGGTCCCTTGCGGCCCCACCAAACCCAACTGCACAGACCGAGCCACGTGAAGAAGCCACACGTCTCTGAGAGTCCTGTCTGTGAGACTATGCAGTGGCCCGCTCCTTTCTGAAAGCATAGATTTGTGTTAACTGTTTTTGTACCTGCAGAAGGTTGGGAGGGTTAGAGTGTGTCTTTCCCCTTGGGGAAGGGTCCACGAGGGACAAGCTGATTTGGGGGTGCCCCAGCGAAAACCTTCATAGCTAGGTCAGAGTACTTTCCGGGTCCTCACCCCTGTTGGATAATGCAGGTGGATTGTTTGTGGACACGTGGCATTTCCAGTTGGACAACAAACAGTGACAACAGTGAGTTTAGAAGCCCCTTTCTGAGTGATCGCAGCACGTGGGTCCTACTCGGCTCTAGGAGCTTCCAGGGCCTTGGCGCTTGTGAGCTCTTCATGTGTGCATCACGGTCAGACCCCTGACTCCCCCGGACCTCAGCTGGCCAGCGCTGGCTCTCCACGGTCCTGCTTTCTCTGGAAGCCGCCGCGCCTCAGCACAGGCCGTGCATGCGTGAGAGTGCGCGCATCCGCAGCTCACCGCCTGCGCCATCTGTTCTGACCCTCAGGTGAGTCGCTCTGCCTGTCTCATGACAACACAGCTGATCTGTAAGTTGCTGCGGTCCCGGGAGGCAGCTGCGGCCGTCGACGTCAGGGCGTGGCCCCCCATCCTGGACACAGGTCAGTCCTCCCACCCACCGGACGCGTCGCGTCTCCGCTTCTGCTCGGCCCTGTGTGCTAACAGCCCTGCTTTGCCCTGCAGATGACTTGCCAAAGAAGCGGCCGGCCCAGATCTACAAACCCTCCAACCCGGACACGCTGGCGTATCTCGACTTCAGCGTGTCCACGACTGGGATGCTAGCCGGAGTGAAGGTGAGAGTGATGTCTGCACAGCACGGGAGCACCTCGCAGGGCGACCGCGTGCAGGGTTACCCGAGGGGAGGGGTGCCGGGGACGAGGAGCGGGGCGCACACATCTCATCCAAGCTGTAAAATGTGTGGCCTCCGCAGCAGGTTATTGGGCTGCCTCATTCTTTCCGAACGTCTCAGCTTTTCAGTGCAGACGCAGCCTCACTCGCCTCTACTGACACGCAGCATGCCTTCTCGCTGGTTCTCAGGTCTCAGTGCTCTGTTTAAACACCGTGCCCTGCAGCTTCTTGCTTTTTTAACATGGGTTCCCTTGTGACTTGCCAGCTTGCTGCTTGTTGCAGCTGCAATGACCCCGTTTTCCATGAGAGAAGAGGCTGCTCTGTGTGTCCCCAAAATGAGGACCCTCCAGGCTCAGGGACATCCTTGCCAAGGAACGATAAATTCTCTGTAGCCTCAGGAACCCTTTCCCTAGGATCTGCCTCGGGCCTCACCGCGAGTTTGCGTAACTTACCTCTTCGTTCACTCTCTCTCTTTTTCCCCCAATATTTTTATTGTAGTAAAATACGTGTAACTTTACCATCTTAACCAATTTAATTTCAGTGTCTTAAATACATTCAAAATGTGCAGCCATTACCCCCATCCATCCCTAACCCTGGTTAATTCCTAAGTATTTTGTTCATTTTTATGCTATCATAAAGGGAACTTTTAATTTCCTTTTCAGATTTTTTATTCAGTGTATAGAAATGTAACTGACTTTTTCCTGCAACTTTGCTGAATTCATTTATGATTTCTAAGAATTGTTTTGTGGAATCCTTAGGGTTTTTTTATTTGTTCGTTTTCTTTTGTTTGTTTGTTTTGTTTTTATCTATACGATCATATCTGTGAACAGGTAATTTTACTTCTTCCTTTCCAATTAGGACGCCTTTATTTTTCTTGCCTGATTGCTCTGGGTCTGCGGCTCCCGGTGCTCGGCTGAATAGAAAGGGTGAAGGTGGGCACCCTCATCTTGTTCCTGATCTTAGAGGAAAAAGCTTCAGCCTTTAGCCATCGAGTATGACGTTTGCTGTGTTTTTTCATACATTGCTTTTATTATGTTGAGGTACTTTCCTTCTGTTCCTAGTCTGTTGGGTATTCTTATCATGAAAGGGTATTGAATTTTGTCAGATGCCTTTGGCTGCATCAAATGAGACGATCATCTGTTTTTTGGTTTTTTTTTCCCTTTATTCTCTTAATGTGATGTGTTATATTGATTGAGTTTCATATGTTGAGCAACCTCGCATTCTGTTGTGAATAAACCCTACTTTGTCATGATGTAGAAGCCTTTTAACATGCTGCTGAAGTCCATTTGCTAGTTCGTGGAGGATTTTGCTTCTAGGGTCATAAGGCATATTGATTTATAGTTGTCTTAGCGTCTTTGTCTGGCTTTGGTGTCATAGAATGAGTTAGGAAGTGGTCCCTCCTCTTCTATTTTTTTGGAAAAGTTTGAGAGAGATTGGTATTAGTCCTTTAATGTTTGGCAGAATCACCAGTGAAGCTGTCAGATCTCAGGCTTTTCTTCGTTGGATTTTTTTTTTTTTAACTGATTTGATCTTACAAGTTATAGGTTTGTTCAGATTTTCTATTTCTTTATGATTTAGTCCGTAGGTTTTGTGTTCCTTCTTGATAGTTTGTTTCGAATTCCATGAAACGAATTTCTCCATTTCATGCAGGTTGTACAGTTTGTTGGTGTCTAATTGTTAGCATACTCTCATAATTCTTTTTCTTTTTTTAGAATCAGTGTAAATGTTCCCACTTTCATTCCTGATTTTAGCAATTTGAGTCTCCTCTATTTTTTCCTTAGTCCATAATAGCTAGAGTTTTGTCAGCTTTATTGAGCTTTTCAAAAAACCAACTTTTGTTTTCATCGATTATCTCTACTATTTTTTATTCTCTGTTTATCTTGCTCCAATATTTATTTCTTTTCTTCTTCTAGCTTTGGGTGCAGTCTGTTTTTTTCCTCCTTCCTCAAGCTATAAAGTTAGGGTGCCAGTGGGGGCTCGCTCTCGTTTTTTAACGTAACTGCTCACAGCCAGAAATTTCTGCCTTAACGCCGCTTTTGCTATGTCTTGTACATTTTGGTATGTTGTGTTTTCATTTGTATTTGTATAGAATTCTTTTCTGAGCTTCCTTGTGATTTCTTCTTTGATCCATCGGTTGTCTGAGAGTGCCATGTGTTTGATCCATGAATTGGTGGATTTTCCAGTTTTACTTCTGTTACCGATTTCTGACTTCATCCTATAGTGGCTGGAGAAGACACTTTGGAAGATGTCTCTTTTATAAAAGCTCTTGAGACTTAATTTGAGGCCTAAAATGCAGTCCGTCCTGGGATACGACCCAGGTACGCTGGAGAAGAATGTGTGTTCTGTTGTGGCCGAAGACTATTCTGTGGCTCGAAAAGCAAGCGAAAGCCAGCCTGTGTATGAGATTCCAGAGGGTTCCACGCTACCTTGTGTGGGTCAGCCAAGCACGCGAGGTGAAGCCTCTAGGGCAGGCCTGGCTCCGGCCCCCGACGGGCACGATGGACGGCCCCTGGCTCCCAGACTCTGCCAGTGTTCTCTGGGGTGATGAGTGAACGCTTCCCCAGGCATTTGGCTGGGTTCCCTCCATAGTCCAATACTGTCACTGGTCCCTTTACAGCTCGGCATTGGTGACATGCTGCCTCACTTAAACTTGGGGCCTTTTTAAACCCATGAAACCTGGTAATGGTCCCCTACGTCTACACATTTTTTCCTCCTAGCCTCTGTGAGAAAGCTGCCTTCACGCAATATACTTTGCAGTACTTTAAGTAAGATGACTCGTGTTGCACACTGACCCAGGGGGCCGGCTGCTGCGGTGGCAGCCCCGTCCTGCCCCGGACGGTGGGCTGTCACACGATAGCGTCCCACTGTAGAGGACTGATTTCAGCTCAGACACGTGTCCTTCAGCCCACTCTGTACCTTCTCTGAGCCTCATTTCCTTGTCCCGAGGTGGAGGTTCATCTCACCTGCTCCGCTGACCTGTCCCTCGAAGCTGGGTCTGGAGGTGCCAGTGAATGAGGCATAGTCCCTGCCCAGAGATGGGGCGTGAGAGGCAGCATCTCCCTGCCTCCCCCCAGGTCTGCAGGGGGGTTGCAGAGGGGGCCACTACGTGCAGAACGTCGGTGCTTCAGCTGCTAGAGTTACTGGGTCCCAGGGCCAGGAGGCCATGCGTGTGCTGCTCTCATTGAGAATGGGAAGACTAATGAAAGCGTAGCAGCCCACTCTTCCCTAATAAGGCCTGGCCGCCACTGTCCCCTGTCCTGAACTGCTCTGGACCCTGCTGTCTTGCAGATGTGTCACGCCGCCACCAGTGCCTTCTGCCGGTCCATTAAGCTGCAGTGTGAGCTCTACCCTTCTCGAGAAGTGGCCATCTGCTTGGACCCTTACTGTGGGCTTGGGTTTGTCCTGTGGTGCCTCTGCAGGTGAGTGTCCCCTCTCACATCCCTCAAACCGTAGATCGGTCATACGCCCACTTCTGCCTGTGTGCCATCCCCGCTCCACCTAGCTCTCAGGGTGAGTGGGTTCCACGTTCTGTGGCATCTGAAGGAACTCGTCTCAGTGACATTTGCTGAAACCCACAGAGACAGTGGCCTGTGGGGACGTTCTGAGAGTTGCCTTTTGAGAACCCATATTCCCTTGAGCAGAGAACCCGTGGGCCTCAGGCTTGGTTCTTTTGCCTTTAAATGCATATCAGGTAGTTGATATTTACTGATTAGAAGATTGTGATATTTACTGATTCAATATTGTGAAAATGTAAATTCTCCCCAAATTGGTCCAAAGATTCAGTGTAATCCCTGTCAAAATTTCAGCAGTTTTTTTTGTTTCAGTTATTTTTTTGCCGGAATTGACAACGTAATCCTAAAATATAAATAAAGGACCCACAATATCCAAAATAAACTTGGAATAAAATTAAAAAGTTGCAAAACAGACTTCCCGATTTTAGCGCTGACCGCTATAACCAAGACAGTGTAGTGCTGGTATAAAGATAGAGGTGTAGACATACACATGTAAAGTAACCAGTGAAACAGGATTGAGAGTCTGAATATAAACCCTTCTATGTGTGGTGACTTCATTTTTCAACAAAGGAACCAAGGCAACTCGAGGAGGAAAGGGTTGTTTTTCCAACAGATGACACTGGAAAAACTGGACATCCACATGCAAAAGGTTGAACAATGATAATACGTAAGTCAGCTCAAAGTGTCATAGACCTTAATGTAAGAGAAAAAAACTATAAAACTTGTAGAAAAAAGCATAAAAGTAAATATTCGTAATATTGGGACAGGCAGTTGTTAGATTTGACATCAAAGGCACAGTGCATACAAGGAATGTTGATAAATTGGACTTCAACAAAATTAAAACTTTTGCGCATCAAAAGACACCATTAAGAAAGCAAAGACAAGCCCCAGACTGGGAGAAAATATGTGCAAGTCATCTGTCTGATAACGATCTTCCAACCAGGTAAAAGAACTCGTAAAACTCAATGAGACACAAGCAACATGATTTACAAATGGGCAGCATATTTGAACAGACATTTCACCAAAATATACAAATGACCAGTAAGCATGTGAGACTATGTTTAACATTCGTTAGGGAAATACAAATTAAAACTAGCGAGATACCACTTAATACCCATTTAACGGCTATAACCAAAGAGACAAGAAAACAACAGAGTTGGAGAACTTAAACTTCCTGAGTTCAGAACTACACCATGAAGCAGGGGTGAGCAAGGGCTGTGCATGAGACTGCGACATGGCGAAACCGCAGTTTGCACGCTCTTAACACTCAGGTCACCACAGGGCGCCACAGTTCCCCGCCCCCAGGTGTCTGCGAAGAGAAGGTCAAGCACACGTCCACACAGAGACGAGGTGTCTGCAGCACCCTTTGTTTAAAGGAGAAAACAGTCCGAAGGCCCACTGACTGGCGAGTGGACACAGCGTTTGCCGCGGGCGTGCGATGGGCTGCAGCTGCCACACACATGGCCTTCAGTGTGCTGCATGAGAGGAGCCAGGCCCACACCGTGTGATTGTGTCATGATGCCCTTGCATGAGATGTCCGGAGAAGGCAGGTCTACAGACAGGAAGTGAGGCGACTGACTATGGCAAGGGTTAGAAACAGGACGGACCGCAGTGGACGCAGCCTGCCTTCAGGGCAGTGGATGTTCTAGAGCTGCGTTGCGGGGACGGTCACACAGCTCTGCAGCTAACCAGAGTTCATTTAATTCTGTGCTTAAAGTGGGCGGATTTCATGGTAGGTAAATCATACCTGAACAGAATTGTCTTTTGAAAAAACAACCTATCACGGGCATGTCTGATGCGCATAGTATGGATACCAGCCTGTCAGGAGAAGAACCCCTGGGCACCTGGGGTGACATGTGTCCTCGCGAGCCATGTGGCTTCCCCGCTCATGGTGCCAAGGCTTGATGGTTTCAGTTGTGGGTATGTTTTGTCAGGTCGATCATCTAAAATCATTCAATTACAAATGTGCACATTTGTATCAGTTACCAAATTGTCTTTTTTTTTCCCCTTTCCTGGTCATCCGTGTTTTTATTTTTTTAAATAGACAGTTTTAGGTTCACAGCAAACCTCAGTATAAGGTACAGATTTCCTTCATACCCGCTAACCCACCACATGCACAGCCGCCGCCACCGTCAACAAACCGCCCCCCCCACCCCCGGATGGAACATTTTTCACGACCTAGGAACCCACGTTGACACGTCATCGCCCAGAGTCCACGTCGTCCATCAGGGTTCACTCTTGGTGTTGTCGAGAGCCCAGGATTGTGTCCGACACACAATCAGGTGATCGTTCGCAAAGGGCGAAAATAACGCAATGGAGCCAAGACAGGCTTCGTCAGACGTGCCAGAACAAGTGAGCCCATGTGCAGAAGGCGCACCCCGGCACACACCGCGCCGCCTCCACGAGGGCAGCTCAGCGCGGGCCAGAGCCCCGGGTGCGAAAGGCGAAACTGCAAAGCTGTCGCCAACGACGACGCGGTAGAACCCGGAGACCCGGGGACGGGCGGCGGCTGCCTAGGTCACCGGACTTCATTGAAATCGATAGTTTCTGTTTGCAAGAAACCCTGTCAGGAGGATGAAAGGACAGGCACGGACCGGGAGAAATATTCCCCAGACGTCTTTTTCATCATTTCGTTGTCTTCGAAGTTAAGATCCAAACTAGGATCGTTCAGGTCCTAGGAGTTCTCGGGAGAGTGTCTTCATTACGAGCGACCTGCATGCTCAGGTGCGGTCCCTGGAGGCGTTTCTGCCCAGCGCCAGGACAGCCACAGCGGTTAAGAAATGAAACATTCGGTGCTGGCCGGACTGGCCAGGAAAGGGCGAGGAGAAAACCCCCGAGTCGGGTTTTCTGTGTGTGCTCTTATCAGGACGTGCTCATTTTCCCCTTCACGTCGGCTCCATCCTGTCACAGGAGTGTGGGGAGAGGCGAAACTGCGTTTAATCTGCATGCGTGTACTCGGAAGTCTCTAGGCCTGAGCTCGACTCTGTGCTGATGGTTCTGATCATGCAAATCATGTCTCCTGATGCATGTTCTTGAGAAAGGTAGTAGGTGATTTGTATTTATTTTTCTTCATTTTGGGGCTGCTTACGAAGTCAGATGCTGGGACAACGTGGATGCGAGAAATGGCTGTAATTAAGAGGAGTGCCATCATAAGGTGTTCCCCACGTTTCGATTCCCTGAGACCCGGGGCCCAGGTGGCACGCACCGTATTTGGTCCGGGTCCTGCAGCGTGAGCCCTCGGTGCGGGAGCGGGGTCCGAGCTTTGGTGAGCATCGCACAGGGCCGTCTGGTTAAGGTGGCAGCGCTGACTCACGAGCGAGCAGAGCAATGTCGGAGGCCCATTGGCTCTTAGGCCTGGTGCGTGGCCCCGAGTTTGGGCCCCGGCACCGTTCCCTTAATGGCCACGCAGCAGAAGGAAATTTTCCAGATGTTTCTTTCTTTCTGCGTCATGCTGCCTTGAGGCTCCTGGTTGGAGTCGACATGTCAGCTGCTAAGAGATGACGCTCTGATCAGTCACCAGAGGCAGGGTGCAGGCTGATGCTGCAGCACTGTGGGAAGCGACAGAGCAGGACTGGCAGACTGTGCCACGCAGCAGAGCCAGGCGCCCGCTTCCAGAGTCAGTGCTGGAGATTCCCTCCCACTCGTCAGTGTTCTCGGAGCTGCCCGCCTTTGGGACAAGGGGCCACCTCGCGGGAGAGGGGGCTGCTGTGTCATAGCTCTCCCCACCCGGGGACACCGTGGAGCGAGGGCCCTCCGTGCACGGGGGCAGCACTGGGCAGCCCTGGACATACGGCTGGACCTAAGAAGACGTTTATTTGCTTTTTGGCCCCGAGTGTGTAGTTCCTGGGAGGTTATTTTAGGAATAACACGCATGCCCCCAAAGGAAGGACGGAGGTTTGTGGCTTCATCAGTGCTTTGTGATTTAGACATGCCTGCTGTGACGCGCTTGATCTCTTGGATACCCTCAGTATAAGGTGACTTTTGGTGGCCTGAACTAATTTCCCAAGGACAGATCTGAGGTTCATAAATCCTTTGAAAAGATCACAGAAAAGGTCAATGTTTGCTATCTTCTTTTTGACAAAAATAAAAGTTTGGAATAGAGAAATAAAGAAATGGAAACTTGCCCCTAAATGACCTGAAGAATAGTTTTTCTTCCAAGGGCCCTGTTTAAAGTAGATTTTACAAGCCAGCTTGATTTCCTTACATTTTGTCTACCAGTTTATTTTATTGTAAATAATTTTGAAAATTTTAATGTGAGATTGGCTTCATTCAAGAATAATTGGCTTTAGCATAATAGTAGTTGAGGCTTAATGTACTGTTTTATCTATATTTTTTTGTACCTACAAAATTTTTTTTACTCAAATCTGAGAAAATGATTTATCTAGGATATTTTATTATGATACATGGCATCTATTAACGTTGATTTCTAATTTTGCCAAATACTCCATTATTTTAAAGCCACACTTGCCCCACCCATCAGTCGGTGAGGAATCAAAGCTGTCACCTGTTGTTTTCCCGATTTCTCCAACCTGAAGGTGAAATTGAAGAGTGATCGTGTTTCCCTTAGTTCTGCCAGATGATTTGTTGGGATCATTCCAAAGTGAACTTTCAGACCTTAAATACTGGACAGATGGACAGAGTCCGTGTAACTGAGTTAGTCTTTGTTCACTTCCTCTGGGTGCCGGTTT